TTCCCCCCTCAGTGGGCGGGGGCCTCGCTCACTGGGGGAACCCCTGCATCCTCTCACGCGGGGTCCCCATCGGAAGTCCTACGTCACACGTATCTGTGTTTACGGATGCGTCACTGTCTGGGGTGGGGGGCACGTGCTTGTCCCATACGGCGGCAGATCGCTGGCCCTCCCACACGCACGATCACATAAATGTGTTGGAGCTTATGACAGTGAGGAATGCGCTCAGACACTTTGCTGCCCTTCTCGATGGCCGTCATGTCGAAGTTCACACAGACAGCCAGGTGGCGACAGCCTACATAAATCGCCAAAGGGGAGTTCGATCCCTCCCACTATTGCGCGTAGCCACAGGTTTACTGTGTTGGGCACATGTCCACCTGCTGTGCCACCTACATTCTGGGGATCCTAAATGTAGCGGCAGACATCCTGTCGAGAGGGGTCCCCGCGACTCCGACTGGCGTCTGCATTCCGCACATCTGGATAAAGTTCGGGGAACTGTCTGTGGAGCTGTTCACGGCTCGCGAAAACGCTCAGTGTCGCCTGTGGTTTTCCCTGAGTCCCCGGGACCAACCCCCGTTTGGGGCGGACGCCTTCTCACACCAGCCCTGGCCTCGAACGCTCCTGTATGCGTTTCCACCAGTCCCTCTGATTCCCCGTCTCCTGGACCGAGTTTGGTCAGAACAGCTCTCGGTAATTCTGGTGGCTCCCAGACGCCTGTCCGCGTCATGGTTTCCGGACCTGCAAGCGCTACTGTCCGGCTCCCCGTGGAGACTCCCGCGAAGGGAGGACGCCCCTCCCCAGGCGGATGGGATAATCAAACATCCTCCAGAAATAGGCCAACGGCTGTAAGTCTGGCCACTGAGCGGTCACGCTTAGGGGTTTGTTTCTGGGCTGCCGCATGATGTGGTCACCACGATTCAGAGTGCGCGGGTGCACCATCACATCTTATGCTGCTAAATGGGCAGCTTTCCAGAAATGGTGCACAGAGCGGAATTTTCAAGCGCTCTCCTGCCAGCTGGCGGATGTCCTATCGTTTCTACAGATACTGATGGACAGGGGCCTCGCATTCAGCACTATTAAAACATGCTGCAGCTATCTCATCCTGTCACCAGGATTTTGGTGATGGGTCTGTTTTCAGTCATCCCCTCACAAAACGTTTTCTAAAAGGTGTCAGAAGGAACAGGCCTGTGTCCCGCCCGCTAATTCCCCAGTGGGATCTAACGGTGGTTCTGCGTGGCTTATTTGAGGCCCCATTTGAACCCTTGGACCAGGTCTCACTCAAGTTCCTGTCACAACTGCCTTGCTGCTGGCACTGGCATCAGTCAAGAGAGCGAGCGACCTAACTCGCCCTCTCAGTGGCTCCCGCATGCCTCAGGATCCGGGAAGATGGAGGGTCTGCTGTTTTATGCCCCAGCCTTTGTGCCCAAAAACATTAATACTTCCTTCAAATCCAGGTCAATTTTCATTGGCTGAACTTTTTCCTCCTCCCCATAATTCTGATGAGGAGGCGACTTCCCATCTTCTCTGCCCAGTGCACGCGCTCGCACGATATGTGTCACGCACTTCAGGGATTCGCCGCTCACAAAGCATGTTTGTGCACTACAGGGAGTCTTCCCTTGGGCAAGCGCTGTTGGCCCAGCACCTTTGACTCTGGCTATGTGACGCCATTTCACGCTTACACATCAGCAGGGCGGGATCCCCCTGAGACACTCAGGGCTCACTCAGCCAGAGGGATTTCCTCTTCTATGGCACCCCACAGTGGTGTGTCAATGGAAGTCATTTGTCAGGCTGCTTCATGGGCTTCACCCTGTTCCTTTACTCGTTATTATTTACGAGATGTGTCTTCAGGATCCATCACTCGTTCAGTGCTTGGACCTCAGCAGGCTGAGTGAATGCATTATGGCACCACATCAGCCTTACTTGATTGAATTTCATCCTCTGTGGATGATATTTTTTAGTGGGGGCCTCACTCTTATCTCTGGCTGCGTCAGCCTTTTAAGCCCTGGGCTGAGGCTGAGCGACCCTCACTAAAAGGAGACTTGTTGGGTGTGTCCATTGGTTGAGCTAACCAGTGTGGCGTAAACCCATCCAGCTGCGCATTATTCCAATAGCAGCTCGCTTAAGGGCTAAGACTAGACGAAATAGAACATTGGTTACGTATTGTAACCCCAGATTCTATGAGTCTAGTCGCAGCCCTTAAGCCACTGGCCCCACTGGTTCTGTTAGGACTAAGAGCCATCGGAGGCAAACAGTGGGGTCGTTCCACTTATATAACCCACAAGGGGTGCCCACGTGGTGGGCGTACATTTAAGCTCTTCATGATTGGCTGATGCTGAGATCACCCTTCCAATAGCAGCTCGCTTAAGGGCTGCGACTAGACTCATAGAATCTGGGGTTACAATACGTAACCAACGTTTTTCATCTGATGATATTAGAACATGTCAGTGATGTCTGAGGAGCTTTTACAAACACTGTATAACTAATACTCCTGGAGAGGGTATGAATTACAGAGGCTTCTGGGGAGCCCAGTTATTGGGGGGGGGGGGGGGGGGGGGGTCATTTTGCCTTGGCCCCCAAAATGTCTTGAAACAGCCCTGGGTGTGTGACTGAGTTTTGAAGGTGATCTGAGCTGTATCAGATGTATAAATATGACATGTGTATAACTTATTGCTTTATACAGGTAAAAACGTGTAGTGGAGATAAATCTACCTACATTTTACTTTTTGTTTTGTTTTCTTGTTTTTATTGAACTATTTTCCTGTCCTGTCTGTCTCTCATCTTCCTGCATCTCCTCTAAACTCTCCAGAAAAACTGCTGCCTCGATTCTTACTTTTTCACTGTAAACCCGAATAAGTTGACTGAACTTAAAATTTTTGAGGTAATCAGTTTCCACAAAAGTTTTAAGTAGACAAACCATATGTTTTAAGTATGGTTGTACTCAAAATTTGTATTTATTGTTAACTTAAAATTTTCAGATAATATTCTATATTTAAATAATTAAGATAAACTTAAAACTTATATATTTTAATTTTAACATTTTTGTGTTACTTGTAGTTAAATTATTTGATGCAACAGAATGTAATTATATTACAACCTAAACTCAAGTAATATGATTATTAACTAATTAAATTACCTTTCTTTTTTAATTGTGTGTGGACCACTCAAAAAAAGTATATGGCGATTCACTTAACATTTTGTTTATTAACATTTTTATGGACTTGTGAAAAACATCACATAAATGTATTTTTTATAAAACCATCAACATGGAACCACTGACCTGGACTGGAGCACAAGTGAGCGTACAAAATGCTGCTAATAACATTTAATAACATTTTTATAAAATCATAAAAGAACATCAGTCCTAAAAGTCATCTTTCTTCTAATATATAAAAATGAAAAACAAAAGGTCAAACACAAAAGAGATTTTTTAAATAAACAAAAATTAAATAAAATAAATATTTTTTAACAGGTTCAAATAATGTTTATCGGCACCCAAATAACCTTGTATAAAAAAAATGAGGTAAACTGATGGGAATTACATCCACCCAAAGCCTGTAGAAAACTTAAAAGTGCTTTAAATAAAATACTTCAAAGAAGGTGCTCAGTAACAGTGTGCCTGTCCTAACAACCAGTTGCCTTGCATATCTTTCATAACTACTCACTCTGTAACAAATCATTTCTAAGAGCATGAAGGCTGGGTTTCAGTGGTTTGCCATCATCAAGCCCCATGAAGATTTTCTGGACAAAGGTGAATGTGTGAACTAGTTTCCTGGGGTAGTCCAAATGCAGAGCATAGATCAAGCCAAACAATAAGGCATATGCATCAGCAAATCTGGCAATATCACGGATCACCAAGTCGCCTTCCACCACAACAGCCATGCTTGAAGGACTGAAATGGACTGGACTGGTCTCAGCAGAGCCGTCAGCAACCACTGTGAGAAGGGCAACTGGAGTGTCAGTCAGGTTCGTCTCATCCAGCGTGCCCGCCTGGAATAAACACAGTATCAATAAGTAAGGTTGACTTGAAGGGCCGTGACAAGCATTATTTGTAATCTAGCAAAATATTCTGCAGTCTTGTGGGTAACACGTTAGTGACACATCATGAGTCCTCTATTTACTATTCTTTTAGAAAATGTGTAAATTAATTAATTAGATTTGTGGGTTTATAGCAACTAGGGTTGGGTATCGAGCGGGAGACGAAGGCGGGCAAAACAGGAAAGGAATCTAGTAGCGGACGGACATTGTTCCGGGTCTTCGGTAATTGGCGGAGATGTTAGTGAAGGCGGAGAAGAGGGCGAACTAGAGGAAAAACAAATAAGAGTTAATTTAACACTAAGTTTACAGGTGTCATTGCCTGGGGATAATACATGTTTATGACACATTAGGCTCTGCATAATTTTGGAGACATTTCTTTTGAGACACAACCTGTCTCTCATGACAAAGAGCTTGTTTCTTACTCATTTGACAAAAATCCTAAACATTTTTTTTTCAGGGTTATCTAGACTAACACTTTTGTTTTTGCTCCCATTTTTTAGGCCTGTTGGATATACTGCCAAGTTCTCTGAAACGCCTTTAAAGACGGCTTATGGTAGAGAGATGAACATTCCTTTCATGGGCAACAGCTTAGGTAGACATTCCTGCAGTCAGCATGCCAATTGCACGCTCCCTCAAAGGTTGCAACATCTGTGGCATTGTGCTGTTTGATCAAACTGCACATTTTAGGGTGGCCTTTTATTGTGGGCAGTCTAAGGCACACCTGTACATTATTCATGCTGTCTAATCAGCCCCCGATATGCCACACCTGTGAGGTGGGATGGTTTATCTTGGTAAAGGATAAGTGCTCACTAACACACACGTAGACAAATTTCAGAACAGTATTTGAAAGTCATGGGTGTTTTGTGAATGTGGACAAAGTTTCAGATGTTTGAGTTCAGCTCATGAATAATGGGAGCAAAAACAAAAGTGTTGCATTTATATTTGTCTTTGGTGTGTATAGAAAACAGATGTTCCCAGCAATTAACAGTAGCCCATAGGCAGTCTAAAAACAAGCAAAATTGAGTGATTAACATAGAAACTTTTTAAATTTGTGGTAGCAATTTTATCTTTATCAATATTCACCTGATGATCATAATGATTCAGAATGTTTCGCAGAGCCTCCGATATCTTGCCAGTGCATGTGGCCTTCTGTCTGTATAGAGCCATAAGTCGTGGTGTGTGTCTGTCAAGTTCAGCATAGAACTGTTTCTGCAGGTTGATGTTTGTGACTCGGAACTCCGCACAAACCTAAAAATACAGGAACATGAAAACATCCAATATAAAGCAAAATTACTGGCCAAATTGAGAAATCTTATATTTAAAGAGGGATTTCCAAATTTGTGCCCAGTTTTATCTTAATGCTGTCATTTTAACATTTGTTTTTCAATTTGAACTTACTTCCAACACAATTGTATCACAAATCTGAAATGAATTTTTTGGCATCATGAGCCTAATGAATGTAAGAAAACTTCTCTTTAATTCAAGAGAACATCAGTTCCTACATTATAGACTCAGCAAGTTTTATCTGTGGTTGCCTGTCTACTTAAAGCCGGGCGTACACTGTGCGACTTTTTCACTTTTTTGAGCTGATTTTCCACTCGTGCGACAATCCACAAGATCGGGGCGAGTTTTGCGCCGAGTGTCGTGTAGTATACAGGGGGTTACGAGAGGCAATTAACACCACATGACCAGCTATCGAGAGCTCGCACAAACTTCTGGCGTGTTTAATATTTTGCTCGTCCCTCGTGAGGGTATCGCACTGTTGAAGCGGCGCTGCGAGCAGCTGCGACGCAAAAAGTATCAGAACCGCTCACGGCGCATACGCAATCCTGCATCAACACCGCTTGCCCGCTATTTCCCTAATAACACACTTTGTTCGTTTTAATTTCTACACGTTTTTTACTCACAAAGATTGTCAAGAAAGAGTGTTTGTCGTGTTCATGTCAAATTAAACTGATCACAAAACACAGATTTACTTTCTTTATTTCATTTTACTCATCCAGCCCCCATAAATCCCTGTGTGTCCTGCAGCACTCCCGAAGGACAACAGGCAAAACAAGACAAAAAAGTCTCACGTGTTGAGTAAAAACTGCTATTTTTAGCATATTTTAGGGCCGACGTGTTGCTACCAGACGTGCAGTGTGAGCAGTCAGATCGCATCCAAGAACTGGGTCGTGCAGTGTGAGCACATGACTCGTGAGATCTGCCCTGCGAGGAAGTCGTACAGTTTGAGCTGAAGCTGAGTGCTACGAGTGAAAAAGTGGCACAGTGTACGCCCGGCTTAACTCATTCACTGTCATTGATGACTAAAGTCGTCATTTTAGATCCCACCGTTCACTGCCAATGAAGACTTAAGTCGCCATTTGAATGTTTTTACTGTGTGGGCATTGGAATGAGCCCCCGCATCGTGACTGAACCTCTCACCTCTAAAGCCGATCTTCATCCGCATATATCACACATGACGTGATCAGGAAGTAGAAAATCCATGTGTTAGATCGTTTTGGGTGGCTGCTGTAAAAAAAAGTGAGGTGTGAACCGGAAAAGCTTCTGCCGATCACAATTCAACAACGGATTATGAAAGAACGGATAATGCTCGAAATGCGCAGATTCTTCATGATTTAAGGTGAGTCTCCACTTTGTTTTGGTTGTTTTGGCGTCAACATCCTAGCACACAACGTTCTGTGACTCTTAAAAAAACTATAAAATTGGTGAGAAACACTGGCAGCGAAAGGGATTTACCGATCAGGAAACGGCTGGCAGCGAATGAGTTAATGTTGAAGCACCACAACTAATAGGGTGCTTAGTTGTAGCGCTTTAAGATATTTGTTCTACCTATTTGAACAATGTTTATAAGAAGTACTTTGTTTAACATGTTAAATAAATAAATCTGAATCTGAAGATCTGCTGAACTTGCATTGTTTCAAGTTAAATTGAATAAGAAAAAAAAATCAGTGCAACACCAACCTGTGAGTGAAATCGCAGAGCTGGCCATTTCTCTAAGAAGTCCTTCACCATTGGGTTTTCTTGAACGATCTCATGGCGACGCAGTGCAAAGGTTGTTTGCATCAGTTTTTCAATCATTACTTTGTTGGGCTCGGTCTTCTCAACCTAATTTTTTATCTGGACTCTCAATTCCTCCAGACTGGCCTTATCTTCTCCTCTTGGAAAGTTTGGGAGGTAGTTTACCTCAGCTTTTCGTGCTCTTTTTATGTTGGAGTGGGGATACTCTCCTTCTGGGTTGTTGATACTCCTTCTACCAGCATTCACGGACACCTCCGCGCATCCGGCTCTGGCTAGCTTGGTGCGGTAATTTCCCATCTTAAATTTTAAACTGGTCTTCCAACCATAACTTCCAGGCTCATTAAGACATGGATGAGTGGTAACAAGAGCTTTTGCTGCCAAACACACATCTCTGTCACTCGGATAGGCTTTGAAGGTGTGCATCACTGAAGCCATGGTCTCCAAGATGTTGTGCTTTTGGGCTCGTGTCAATTTCAGTTGCTTTCCAGACATCTCGTAGGCTTTATTTCCCTTCTCAAGGACATGTTCGACTTCGTAAGAAAAGGTAGGTACTGGGAAAGTGTCAGGCCAACACTTCAGACGCTGAGCTAAAGGCACATGAGGAAGGATGTCTGTGTCAGAACTTGCACAAGAACTGGCATCACTTTCGGATCGCACTATTTTTAATGTGCTCTTCTCTAGTAGCTCTTGAATATCATGTAGACAGGTAAGTTGCCCATCAAAGTCAGGGTCTTCGTATTGTAAGGTAAACTCAAAGTCCAGCCTTGGGTTGAGCTTCTCCCGGAGTATGGTGATTAGTTCTTCCACTGACTCAGGCCGCTTAGTTAGAGAAACCTTCACAACAACATCTGTAGTGCTGTAAACTCTCAGCAGGAATTTCTGAGATGCTGCCATCATCCTGTGTATAAAGCAAGGAATGGAGATGATTAAAAAATACTACAATGGTCTCAACACATATAAAAACAATGAACATCATACCATTAACCTTTTTTTATGTGTCCTTTTATGGCAGAGTGGTACTCAGAATTGGCATCTGAGTACCAAGCAATAGCCCAAAAGATTTACTGTCACAAGTGGAGCAGTACCTCTTGTGGTAATGCATACACATAGCCTTTACAAGGTCTGATAATTGTATACTCAGCAATCATTACAGCTGTCAAAAATGGGGGGTCAAATATACTATAGTCTTGTTTTCCAATTTTAATTTAAAAAGTACACTGTAAATTTCATAACAAAATAAACTTACTATTTATGCTGGTTACTTTGGGTGCATTCTAGCATTTTATGGCCAATCTTTCAACAGTCCAGAACAAAGGTAAGTATTTTACATGTTACATAGTCACAGGCCATCATTTCATTTAGTCACGGTAAAAACTAACCCTATTTCAACATCATAATCTACATTTTCTCACCAGGCATACAAACAATACATAAGAATTTACACAGCAATTATTTTACAAAACAGAGACAAACTGCAGGAGAAATATTTGGAAAAACACATCATGTGATATTAAATCAGTGAGATACATCTAAAAGGAAACAGAACTTCTAGTAGCAAACTACTTTTTACAGACTACTGTCTAATGTTGCTCTCTTAACACCCCCCCCCCCCACGCACACACATAGCATCTGCATTTTGAAACTTTGGGGTGGAACAAATCTTAAAATATATGTAAATCACATAATGCAAATTCACTTTCAGTGTAGAAGTATAAAACGTTTTGGTGTCAAAAGAAGTTTCCCTTCCACGTAGTATGCAGAAAGGGGTAAGCGGTCATTAAACTCTGACTTGCAGTGGATAGCCATACAACTTGGGTAGAGTTCATATGACCTCATATGTTCAGTGTAGTTTGACCTGTGTTCTTTGCAAAGAAATGCAGCATCATTGTTAACAAGGAGGATTTTTTTTGATCTCGCTAAACTGTGGCAGTCCCCCATCCTCCCCCACAGACACAAACATTCCAGGGCTGTAAGTTGTGCCATCAACAATGATCTTTGATGTGCTGTAAATAATTCTGCTGTCAGTTTTATCCTTTATGTATTCTTGTGCAACTTCAGGAAGATCTGAAACCATGACAGAAGTAACGTGTGTCGTCTGCTGATGCGGCTGAAAAAATGAAGGTGCACTGAGGTAGTAGGCCACCACATGTTGGTGCCGTGTTGCTAATGTTTTTAACACATTCTTAAAGTTTTGTGTGTCATGTATTACCCTCTTGAAAAAGCGATGCTTACCCTCGAACCTCATTGTCCATAAGTGAACAAGTGGCCCAAAAGCACGTATAAGAGCTGGGTAGTGCTCTATATAATGATGTTTTGGAAGCAGTCTTAACTCAGGAAACATGTCCTGCAGCACTTTTCTGTGGTCATCTATCTTTGATTGCAAATACTGTATGGACTCTTCATCAAATCTTGGGCACAGCATCAGCTCAACAACCTCTTTCAAATCCATTAACACTGTCCACGCAGCATCTTCCTCAGGGACTACATTACCGTTCATGAATGGCAGTACTCTCAGCAATGTGATATTCTCATGACCATTGCCACCAATGGTCCTCTTTGTAGAGAAGTTCTTTGAGATGGGCTTTGGTTTGTCAACTTTATCGGAGTGTTGGTAAGGAAAGGACAAGATTTTTCTATTCAACTGCTCTAGAGTAAAGTATTTCTGCCGGATCATCTCCTGAATACACATGGCCAACTCCACTGGTACAATTCCCTCAAAAAGGTCATGGAGGACATCAGGAGGGAAGCCTGTGGTTGTATGAAAATACTGCAAACTTTCAGTCAGGATGCAGTTCCGTTGCACACCTGCCTGACTATGACCATCCCCATGTAGAACTTCCTGCACATTTTGGTCATAACTGGCTTTTGTTCTGAGGCTAAACTTGCCATCTCCAACATCATGAGACTGAATTAGGTCTTGTGTTGCATTGCAAAACCTACAAATAAATCCAGTTCTGAAACACTGACTAAACCCAGCCAATGAGTGGGCTGCCAGGTTGTCAGCTACAACGCACATGATAGTCCCTTTAACAGATTTACCGAGGCACTCAATAAATACACCATCTTGCTCAAGAGTTTTTAGATCTTGTAGCAAAGGACCAAATGCTTTTTCATAGCCACACCTGTGGAGATCAGGTACCTTACATAATGCTGCTAGCTGAATGACATGCAGACCTGAACGATATTTACTTGGCAAATCAGCAAACATCCAGTATACTGCACACAGTTTGTGTATTTTCCTTGAAGTGCCCAATGGATTGGCAATTTCAAGGTCATCAATGTACAGTATCAGTGGCAGTGAAAGCTCTGATGAAGAAAACAACTCATTTCCTTGGAAATATGACCCATCTCTGTGGCTTGTGTAAAGACCCTCATAAGAGATATGTGTTTCCATAATTCTGTTAAGAATGTCTGTATGTTGGAACATTTTTTGGATCATCTCAAGTATAGGGACATGAATTGCTGTACAACCAGGCTCCAATATATACTGAACAGGCATTACCACAGGGTAGTTCTTTTCAATAAACGTTTTTCTATGTTTATTTGAACAAAAGTCCTCCCCTTTAGCTGTGGCACAAGCAAAAATATTTGCATTATTTACAGCATTCAGCAAATCATTAAGGATAGCCTTGGAAGGAGTAACCTGATGCCTTTGTAATACATCATGCAGAGTCTCTTTAATGAGAGGCTTTGACAATGAAATGATTTGTGCCAGAGTATCAACTATTTCCTGAGATGCCATTTGAGAAACATGAAGAATACTTTCCATCTTCAGGAACAATGAAGACAAGTTCTTTTGTAACTGTTCTCTTAACTGCCTGGTATCACAAACACTGTCTACCTCAGGAAAAGCCAAGTCATCCAAATGCTCATTATAGCCCCATTCCCACCTGTACCGGGTCGGCCCGGGCCAGGTAGCGTAGGTTGTTTACATATCTGGGTGGCCTGGAATTTTCCCGGGCCAACCAAGGCTCATTCTCGGCCCTCTTCCCGAGGGGTACTGCTTCAGGCCGACCAGGGCCAACACGCCCACTGCTGACAGCAAATTCACACCTTCCATTAGAGCAAGCCTCTGATTGGTGGGTAGAATCAGCCCATTCACACCTTCCATTAGAGCAAGCCTCTGATTGGTGGGTAGAATCAGCCCACATGGGCTTAAGACAAGGATGTGTGGAATCAACCGGGCCAGGCTGGGGCCGACTGGGGCTACCCGGCCCGGGCCGACCCGGTACAGATGGGAATGGCCCATATTAACATCCTCAATGGCAAAGTCACTAGTGCTTTCCACTGGCCTGCTGTTTTCGTTTGACAAAAGGACATCACAAATGCCCTGACTACCTGTGTGTGCCCTACATTTGTGTGTATTAAAGGATGAATACACATTTGTTTGGTAAGTGCAGTTTTTATATGGGCAAGCCACATTCTCGTGGTTTTTTAGGTGCCTTCTTAAATGGCTGAATATTGCAGTCTCTGAGAATGGTTGCTTTAACTTGCACAAGGGACATGTAAAAATGACAACTTCTTGTGCACCTTGACTTGCACCAGTTTTAGATGGCTCATTGTGAAGCCGTGACAAATGGATTTTCAATGCATTAAAAGATTTAAATGTACAAATGCAAGAGTCATAGAGACAAGGCAATGGGCTAATCTTACAAAAAATGCTATGGCTCAAACGGTAATGCTTAAATAAATGTGCTCGGGTGTCTGAGGTGACTGCACACAATTTGCACTTCCAATCCATTGGCTTATTTGAACAACTTTAGTGAACATCAGTATTACAGTTCTTAAAGGAAACACCAGATTACAGAACTTCAAAGTAATTACAATTACTTCTCATCACTGCATGGTGACTGTAAAAGGCCAAATGCTGTCCAATATTCAATTGGATCCTAAAGATAAACGTAGAGAAAACAAGCTCAGTTTTTAGTTTCAAATTCTTTCGGTTTTTGTTTCAAATAACTTCAACTTGAGGACACATCCATAGTTTCTCATCTTTTAGTAACAATTTTAAAGTGCAAATCACACCTACTTAGATTATCTGTTACTTAACCATGTAAATAATTAGAACTCTACATTTGTATAAAACTAGGGCTGCAGCTATCAAATATTTTACTATTCGAGTATTCTACCGAATCCTCCAAAGATTAATCGAGTATTCTATTTGACGATGTTTCAAGTGAAACAAGACTTTGGTCTGCTGCTAAAAATACAAAAATAAAACAATTATAAAAAATATGTATTAAACTCATGTTGTCTAGTTCCCTCTTTCCCAGCTGATATTTCTATATATAAATTTTATGGAACAAAATTTGACTTACATTTAATTAACTTTTAAAATTTCTACTAATATCACTCATCCTAGTCTAAATAACATCTATTTATAAATCAGTAGAATTTAATTATTTCATTAACATGTTCAGTAGTAAGCTACTAGAAATGCTAATAACATTAAATTTTTATGGGTAACAATGAAATGGTGGCATATAGATTTTCTCATGTAAGAGTTGGCAACATAATCCGGTCTTAATTGATTCTAATATAGACGCGTCTGTGAATTACATGCTACAACGGCTTGCCATACAGTGCTGCATGTCTGGATCAGACTCGTAGCAACAACCAAACTGCAGGTAGCTGCTGCAGCTCTGCCCAACACCGCTGCAGACATCCACAAATAAATGGGATGAATGGTGTGGATTATTCCTAAACTTGTAGAGTTAAGTCATTCTTCACAACCATCACCTTTTATTTTTAGCAGCAGCAGTGTTTGTAGCATGTAATTCGCAAACACTTCTATATTTGAATACAATTTAGACTGGATTATGTTGCCAACCTGTACATAATAAAATTTATATGTCAACATTTCATTGTTAAAGGAGCATGGGGCAGGATGAAGAAACGAAACTCATTAGCGACGCACTCGGCGCTGTGAGTAACTGCAGCCCGGCACGAGAGCGCGCACAAACTCTTCACTAGAAAAAAAAAAGTTTCAGTGATGTACGGCCAGAGCGCGGCTCGAACAAGGCACCGTGTCGAGCGATGAAGTAAGTAACATTGTTACTTTAGTCTAATATTTGTATAATTCCATGACAACATTAGCATTTTAATTTAGCCATGACACTCGTGATGTAAAGCAAGTGCTCCTTCCTATGAAATATTCATAAGCCAGTTTTGTGACTGGCGAGCAAGACAGTAACATGATGCTACTTTATCAGCATAAGGCTTTGTGGCTGCAGGTGATTTCTGATGTTTTTAGACAAATTACAGTTATTATTTTGCACTAAGCTTACTAACAAGCCAATGTTATTGTTTATACATCATGTAAGAACATCCAATTTCAAGTCACTGACATCATTTGTGAAACCAATTTCATTACAGGACAGGCATCACAACAATGTAAATAAGAACATAAATATCAATGTTTAGTTCAAAAAAATGCATCAAAATAAAATCATAATATCAACAAGACCTACAGGGTAATACAGTCATTTTTCCATTACTGTCATTGATTTTCAGGAATTCACATTGGAAGGAAAGGGCAGTACTGGAAAGGGGAGAGGAAAAGGTCGCTCCGAGGGTCGGGGAAGGACACGCTCAAAGGGTGAGGGCAGCAGGTTGAGGTCCAGAGCTCCTTCAAGAGGATCAGGGCGCTGGGGTAGGCAGCGAACAGCTTTCAGAGAAGAGGACCGAGACCAGCTTGCACAGCTGAGAGCTGCCAGTATAGCTGAGATGCAGGTTGGTTGTAGCCATTTGTGTAAAATGATAAAATAAAATAGAGAGATGCCAAAAACATCACTCACTGGAGATATGAATCTAGTCATGTAAACATATGCTCTTTAATTTCTAGACAGCTTTACAACACCTGAGCCAGGAGGAGAGAGATTATATTCTCGAGAGAGTGGTGACCCGTCTTCCAGGGGTGATGCTGGATATCCTGGAGTTTCGGCAAGAGACGCCAGGACACCGTCTTCCTGACTGAGGGCACCCTAACCCAAAAACTCCAAACCGTTTATCTACAACTACAGTAGTTCCAACACAGCACAATACCTCAAAATAACTTTAGCTGAAGACAGCATTTTCACCCAAAAATGAACAAACAGTTTGTGCAATATATTTATTTTTATTTATGTACAAAAAAGTTCTGTTATTTGCATTTGTACATAGTATTTTTTCTTAATTTCTAATAAATCTGTGTGCATGAAAGAAGTCATTCCTGTCTTTTGATGCTTCACGTAGCTGGGGCCTTTATAGAGAGAGAGAACAGCAGCATTAGATCATACATAGATTACATGAGAATGCAGTTCTGGAAACTCTCCAGTTCTGAAGTTGACCTGTGAAAAAAACAAAAGCTACAACTTTATAGATTATTAGGAATCACACTTTTGATTGCCTTTTCACCCACAATTGTCATTTCTATATGTAAATTGTCAGCTTTGATATTGACACTTTAGCTTTTTTGCTTATGAAAATGTTATTAATATACCTAAAAGTCAGATTGGTGACATCCTTCAACCAGCGTCTGTTGAACATGATTCGTTGAAGAGCCTCTTGTGGTGGAGATCATGGTACCATGAGCTCTTTATCACTGGTCGTTGCATCAAGTGGTCCACGGTCACATTTGCCACGGGTCCATTCATGCTTCCCTGTGACAAGGTGAAGCACACCCACCCACATGTCCTAACAGAAAAAATAAGTTTTATTTGAAAACTTTACATGTGACAGAAGCGCTCACCAACAGAAACACAAGAGCTGGCACTATTATGAAAAGAAAGGTAATTATGTCAATGTGCATTGTTGTCTTGTTGTCCAAAAGATGTCACAATACTTACATTAAACATATCACAATGTTGTGCTTTCTGGCAAATGTACCAAAATTGGTTGAAGATGTCATTCAGCCACAGAAGTAGGATGGAAATTCCCTTTAGGATCCCAGCCTGTGAACAAGGATAAAACAACAATTCCATCTTTTTGTCACAAACAGAACTCAGAAGACCCGTGAAGACGCCATCACAGTAAAAATATATATAAAAAGTCTTTATTGAAAGCAGAGGTACCTGGAGGGCAAGGCTGAGGCAGGTTCAGAGGCAGGCTAAGGTCAAAGTGGCAGGCAGAGAGCAAGGCAGGGGTCAGGCCAGGGCTGGACTGGGACAAAAATTCAGCCCGGGCATTTTGACTGGAGACCGGCCCATCACCTGTTTTTTTTTTGGAAAAGACATTAAGCCTTATGCTGTTTCTGACACACACCAACGTACACTTTCTTATTGGTAGTATTTATGTATCAATCTAATAAATGTAAACCTACACCATCCTTCCTATCCTGGTATTCTAAAAAGTAGGGTTGGGGGTAACTGATTATTTTTAAAATGATTATTCTGACGATTATTTTATCGAATAGTCCACTATTCTAATGACTATTTAGATGATTAATCTAGCGATTACTTTTCTATTGCACAATTAATAAAAACCAAAAAATTCTCAAATAAATTCATCCAAAAAATTGATAAGTTGTTACTGTAAGAGAATAAACACTACAGGCCTTCCATTTTGTATAACACTGCGTTTATTGTGTTGCGGTTGTTTATATTCTGGTGACATGTAGATCATGCAGGCTGCTGCCTGAGAGGTGGTTGGAGACGGAGTGTCTCCATGCTGCTTTGATTTGGTCACTTATGTGCATGAGGCAAGTGGTGTTACGACCCTTCCTGGGGAGTCACGTGTTTCTCCTATTTTAACTGTAAATCCTTCTAGCTGTTATATTTATAACAAGAAACAGATATTCGGACGGAATATTTTCATGTTTATTCGAATATGATTGTGGAGCACACCCAGCATCATAATAAATGAAGTAATATTGATGCCAATTTAAGCCTTTATGGGTGACCAGGACTCTGTGTTTATGAATGTGGAAGACACCCAGCATCCTGTGATGGCACTAATAACATCAAGAGATAATAAATAAGGTAATATTTAGGTCAATTTAACCCTTTACAGGTGACCAGGACACTGTAATCAATTTTTGGCAAGGGAAATGATCATTTGTTGCCATTTTTGAGGTGTTTATGAATGTGAAAGACACCGGCATCCTGTGATGGCACTAATAACATCAAGAGATAATAAATAAAGTAATATTTAGGTAAATGTAACCCTTTACAGGTGACCAGGACACTGTAATCAATTTTTGGCAAGGGAAATTATCTTCTTTTTTTTTTTCTTTTTTTTGTGCCATTTTTGGGGTGTTTTTGATGATACAGTAGGCAGTATGAGTACAGTAACATCAACAGATAATACATAAAACCCTTATTTGGTCAATTTTAGCCTCCATGAAAATCTTAGCGATTCAATCACTTTTTGGCAAGTAAAATGCCATTTTAGTTGTCTACAATTAAATCATCAATAAAGAATTTAAAGATATTTTGAGGCATTTCTTATAGGTAAACGGGAGGGTGTAGTCTATTTGGCAAGTGACAATCTTAATTTTATGTGCTGAAGTGCTTTTATCTTGTTACTTTTAAATAGAGCAACGTAATGTATAGATAGCAACCTACACAGTGTCATTGTAAAGCCAAAGCTTGATCATTTTAAATACCTTTTTTCAAGTAAAAATGTGCCCCAAACTAGTTAACTGTGGCTCCATGTCAAGTGGACTAAAGAAAGGAAGGGGAAAAAATTTTATCGCTGGAGAATTGTTTATTTCCATTTATACAACGTTTACATTCAATACAGGGTGCCATTTTACATTGTTTATTTATTTTTTTAGTATCAAGGCTGTAACATAAAGAAAGCCAGTTCTTACCACAAAGTTTGTGGCACAAACCATCTTTCAATCGCAAATATTGCAAAAAGGATTAATATATCCTCATTGTGAACGTTTAAGACAAGTAGCAACACTTAAAACAACTTCCGAACTGGAAAAACTAATGTGGCAAGGTGCAGAAAGGAGTGCCCGGGCGGGATTCGATCCTCAGACCCCCGGGTTAGAGTCATACGCTCTAACCAGTCAGCCAAAGGAGCATCTCCTTGGCCAAGTAGCCAGGGCGCATAATCTATCGGGACATTGTGACAGGACGCTCACACAGCCACATCTTCCTCCCTCTTTCCACAAGCACATCCTCGTGCTCCCGCGCAGGGTGCCACAAACACTGCCACACTAATATCCGCGATAAACATCTGTTTAAGTACCGGAAGAGGTTATCTTTGCTTTCTGAATGTCCATATTGCTAGATATGCTGAGTTTTAGGGCGAAATCCTGGGGAATTATGTCTAGAAATGCAATTGCCTAACTGTGCGCGATCCCGCGGTGGCTAATCTTTTTTTGGCAGCGAGTCGATTAATGGCACAACACCGGCTCGGGTTTCTCCTCCTCCTCCCTCTTTTCTTCTCCAACCTGTCGCTGGGCTGAGGCTCCATCACTTCCTAAATTGATTTTACTTGAACCTTCACTACCAAACAACTGTGAGATTTTAACACATGTGCCAGCATCAGCCTGAAGGGCCAGTTTCTTTTTTTAGTCGAATTTTCTCCGCTTCTCCTTTCCGTTTTTTGTTCTCCATTTTCGTCTGTCTGTTTACTGAGATTCACAAACAACTGGCGGGTGCATCAGACCTCTGGCTATTGGTCCAGCCCAGAGTGTATTATGACCAATTGGCCAATCCACCAACTTTTACGAGGCGTCGCGTGGGGCGGCGCGGGCAAGTTGTCCGCAACAACTAGAGGCCAGGAAAAAAAAAAAAAAAAAACAGACACCGGCCCATAAAAGATGAAAGGGTCGGCCCAGCGGGCAGTTGCCCGCTATGCCCTATGGTCAGTCCAGCACTGGGTCAGGCAAAAAACAAGGTCCAGAGGCAAAGATCAGGCAGGGTGGATGCTGGAGAACTACTGACAAGGCTGTAATAATCTGGCATCGGTTGACTGGATGGCTGGTTCTTTTATAGCAGGGGAAGCAGGTGAATGGGATGAGGCTGATTACAGGAGCAGGTGGAATGAATGGAGCTGATTGAAGCTGACAGAGGTTGCTGGGGAAAACAGGGCTTGGCTGGAGCTTGGTGAGAGGACAAGGTGAGCTGAATGAGGAGGTATAAGGAGGAAGTGGAGGAGGGTGAAGGATGGGAGTCATGACACTTTTAGTTCTTTTTAAAACATAGAAAGGTTTTATTTACCTGCAACGTTTTGTTTGCGGCTGCAAACTTCATCAGCCTGACAAAGTTTTCATAACAGTTCTATTCTGTTATGAAAACAATAAATAAAAGTAGAATTAATATATTGTTTTAAGACTTTGGAGTTTAAAAAAGAGTGTAGATAAGAATAGGGCTGGGCAATATGGCCTCAATCTATATTGCGATATAATCTGAAGCATGTGCAGTAACGATATATATTGCGATATATTTTTTCATCTGTTTATAGATGTCAAATTGACATGCTTTTAGATATCCTCATGTGGCAAATATATGCCACTTGAGGCATATAGACCTCCTCCTCCGCCCACTCCATGCTTGCAGTCACCGCCATTCTGTTGTCCCATTGTCAGCAGGGTGCACATCTTAGTGACGTCATGTGTTATCACAATATTGCCATATTGCGATATAGCCAAAAACTATCATTACCCAATTATATATCATTTCTACCTTATATCGTTTATATTGCCCACCCCTAGATAAAAAGACATTGCAACTCACACACTGTTGAGTAAGTTGTTTGCTTGGTCCTCATCAATTTGGACTGCATCCGTAGCTAGATCCATGGATTTGAAACTACAGACAACACAATAATATTTGTTTTACGTAAAGATAAATACTGGAACTTACCTGAAATGGTACTGATTCTAAAGAGATAAATGTGGAGCCCAATACATCTGTCATTAATTCTTTCTGCAAATAACAACAATCTGCTGTGAATTGACACTTCACAACATAAATAAATATATATATAATGACCTATATTTGCTTATCTATTGTGTTTTTATCTTTTTTGCACAGCAGTAATTTCCTGCGTATATGGCAAGACTTCTCATGAACAAATTTACCTTTCTTCAAAAGGATCCAAATCTAGGTCATCAGCTAAGGCCTCAACACCAGCCATTAGAAAATCTTCCCTGTAAAGATAATGTCAGAAGTGTTTTGTGGTGTGATGTTAGTTCTGAACCAAGTGTGGATATGCAAGGTGTAATTTAATGTATGAAATATCATAGCACAAAAACGTGAATATTTGTTTTACAGAAAAGATACTAACCCCTCAGACATAGGTTCAGTTGGAGATAATCGATGCCACATTTTAGCTGCTGTTCTCCCTGAATTGCAGTTTCAGGAGCCTGCTTCTTCCGGTAGCTGGAAAACACATTTTTAAACAAAAATGTCAACAAGTTGGTTGAGACTCTACACCTTCTGTTTACATAGATCAATAATGGCCTAGCACAACTAGTAATATGAAAATGCATGTCAGTCATAAAAAAAAAAATTCATTTTCACAAACATATTTTATTCTGACCTACATTCAACTGGACAAATTTAGAAAAATAAACACAATAAACTTCTGCACAACTTTACTTTTAGTAAAACATGTAGTAATGGCTGACTAGTTATTTACTCTTTTGTAGCACAGCACTAACGTTAGGAAAAGATATTCCAATGGGGTTCTGTTACACAAACCCCACGAATAACATTATCTACTGAAGTAACAGTCCTGCTTAGAGGTTGGACTGTAGATCAAATATGACATAACTCTAAAGACTAGGGATGGGTACCTTTGACATTTGAATCGATCCGGTACTAATTACCGGTACCTAGGAATCGATACCGGTACTTAACGGTACCATTTTTCGATACTTTTGAGTGTTTATTATTTTAATTCTCTTTTATAATTAAATATATATTTTTCTCAATATATAACAATATTTGATAAATATCACGATAAATAACATATAACAGTTTGTATTTTAACATTGCCCTTGTAGTTTTATAAGCTGATAATTAAACTGAAGCAAACATCTTTACTGTGAACTAAATTTACTGTGTCTTCATTCCTTTTGCCGTCTTTTTTCATTTGATTTTTCCTACTGGGAAGTTAGAATTTCCGAGGAGAAAGCGAACAAACCATTAGCTGATAACAATGGTGGCAATGGAAGCTAACATATCAAGCTAACGATATCTTAAACAGTTTATTTAGCTGCTGGAGCAGATTAAAACGATGCCTCACACTTAGATCGTCACTGGTTTCGTCTTCACCCGTCACATTTAGTAAAGTGAAGCCAAACTTTAGAGCGCGTTCATGTTGTTCTAGTCGGAAATTCGGAGTTCCGAGGAGAAAGCGAACGCACCATTAGCGAAACGGAAGCTAATATATCAAGCTAATTATATTTACCTACCGGAGCAGATTAAGATGAGGATGTCTCATTTAGATAGTTGTCGCTGGTTTCATCATCCAGTTACCCATCACATTTAGTGAAGTGGACCCAAGCTTTAGCCTGCGTTCTCTCTACCATGCTGCTCTGTTTACAACTGGTTCACAGCAAGCGACGATAAAACGCTCTTGCGCATGCGCAGCTGTCTTGG